CTAATGAGTAACAGGATCCATGAGCAATTGGATTGTTGTCCCCCTAGTTGTTGGGTGCCGCATGGAGTCGAGGTCTGACAAAAGTCACCTGTTCTACTTCACGTTTCATGATTGAATTCCTTCTGGCCAAGTCGAAGCCATTTATAGGGTCCCAGACTTGTTATTTCTGTAGGAGATGGCAGGGTAGATTAAATAATTAAATAAATAATAAATATTATTAGAGACAGAGGGAGAGAGAGAGAGAGAGAGCGCGCACACAAGGGAAACTTCCCCCTCAGGAGGGTGATCCAGGCTGACCTGGACAGGCTCAGCAAATGGGCAGATGAGAATCTGATGGTGTTCAACACTGAAAAATGCAAGTTTCTCCACCTTGGGAGGAAAAACCTGCAGCATGCTTACAGGCTCAGCAGGGCTACACTGGCTAGCACTACGGAAGAAAGAGACTTGGGTGTCATCATTGACCACAAGATGAACATGAGCCTTCAATGTGATGCTGCAGCTAGTAAAGTGACCAAAACGCTGGCTTGCATCCATAGATGCTTCTCAAGCAAATCCCAGGACGTCATTGTCCCGTTGTACTCGGCCTTGGTGAGGCTGCAGCTGGAGTACTACATCCAGTTTTGGGCCCCACCATTCAAAAAGGATGTGGAGAAGCTTGAGAGAGTCCAGAGAAGAGCCACGTGTATGATCAGAGGTCAGGAAAACATACCTTACGACAGGCTGAGAGCTATGGGGCTCTTCAGCCTGGAAAAGCGCAGGCTCAGGGGTGATCTCATGGCTACCTATAAGTTTATCAGGGGTGATCATCAGTATCTGGAGGAACGTTTGTTCACCAGAGCGCCTCAAGGGATGATGGGGTCGAACAGTTATAAACTACTGCAAGACCGTTTCAGGCTGGACATAAGGAAGAATTTCTTTACTGTCCAAGCCCCCAAGGTCTGGAATAGCCTGCCATCGGAGGTGGTTCAAGCATGTACATTGAACACCTTCAAGAGAAAATTGGATGCTTATCTTGCTGGGATCCTATGACCCCAGCTGATTTCCTGCCCTTCTGGCGGGAGGCTGGACTCGATGATCTTCTGAGGTCCCTTCCAGGCCAAATGTCTATGAAATTTATGAAACTGAAGAACTGGAAAAAATCCATTTTTGGTGTAATTGCAGGCATGCTGTTATATGGTTCATTTAACAGCTTAGATTCCAGACTCCAACTTCCAACTGAAAGGAATTATGCCATCAGTTTAAATATCCAACAATCAAACCCTGCTGGCTCCTAAGTAACTGTTGCATTTCAGAAAAGATTATTTTGGGATTTTTAGAGTCCTTGAAACATCTTTAAAGCTGTCTGCAAAAATCAAATGCACTTCATTTTATAAAGGTTTGTCACAATTTGGAATGAAATTTAAAAAATGTAAAGCTTACATATGATTCAGCACATATCACTATTTCATTGTTGCATTTTAAGATTTCTCATGTCATTTGTTTCTTTGTTGATATTTTTTTAATTTGGTTAACAATTCTGTAATTAAATTAACTTTTACAGCAAGTAGGGCAATGTATTAATTTATATGTTAATAATTTACATTCCAAAAGATATTTAACCCTCATCCATTCTCATGAAACCATAAACGTTGTTGATCTCATGGGGTAATTTGTTACCCCGCATTTCAACATTGTTGGTCTCATGAGGTAACTTGCTACCCCACCTGCATGAACAAAATGGAACCAGTGACAACAGTATAAATGTACGAAAAACTATTTATTAAACATACAGATGTTTGAAAGAGTATTTATGATTTGAACCCAAAATAATATTTAACTAGAATTATGAACAAAATTTAAAAACTTTTTTTTTAGAGTTTCAAAATGTGACTGAACAATTTGCTAAGTCTGCAGTTCTCACTGATTTCAAACTAACAATTACTTCCAAAAACATTTCCTAACTGTTTTAACTAAATATTGCGTTTCTCACAAAGCAGCAGTGATGTACTGTGGTGCACACAAGCAAATCGCTTACAATCTTCACTTCGCTTCCAGGTTTTGCAGTCATTTGTCCTTGGACAAAGCACAACATCCACTCATACTTCCAGAAGCTTCTACTGGGGTGCTTTGTGGCAATTTGTAATTTAGGGCAGTCATACCAGACTTGACGGACTTAGGCAGTTTACGTGCATCTATCATTCATCCTTTTACTTGTCCATTGATCAACTGTTCTCCAAGCTCCTGCAAACAAAAGTGCCATCTTCTTAAATGTGATCTTCACTTCCAGTCTGTGTTGTGTTGTGCCAAATCATGAGGCTGGCAATGGCAGCCACCTCCAGCATATTGATAAATAGTGTCATTGGCCACCTCTTGATTTTCCATTTGCAGGTGATCATAAAGACTAAGTGGTCAAGGTTCTCCACCCCACGCTTGCTTTTATTCTAGTCATGGAAGATGTCCAGCTTTCTTTGCTCTCCACCCACTGACAGGTCATGCTTATAGTGCATGCTTGACAACAACAGCACAACTTTAAACTTTTTTGGAACATAGGAAACTAGGGTGAGTTCTCCATCAAAAGCAAAAATGGATAAAAAAAAAGTTTCCTTCTTCGATTTACTTGTATTTTGTTTGAGATATCGGCCTTGTTTTTCCGAATGGTACCCACATAGATTAAATCCTGCTGTAGCAGCCTTACTGCCAGGTCAGTACTTGTTTTTCAATGACCTGGGTACCAAGATTACCTTGGCACAGAGCTTATGGTTGCTTGCCCAGGTAAGATGTCTCCAGACAGGGTGAATGATGTTACTGCATCACAGCACCATCAAATTTTAAAGCCATATTTGGCAGGCTTGCTGGGCATATAGTGTCTAAAGGGACAGCGACCCCTAAACACAATGAGCTACTCAACCACCGTCAGGTGTATTCCTGGAATATACCATTTCCTGAGCTGCTCCACAAAGTGTGTCCAAATATTTCTGAAGGCAGCAAGCTTGTCTACAGCTCTCCTTTCCTCACATGTCAGTTTGTTGTCAAATCTCAGGTAGTTGGTGATTTGACAGAATTGTTTTAAACTCAAGGTGGCATGGAAGCAAGGAGACCCGGTGCATTGCTCCCACAACTCCTCCAGTGCCTTATGACCACCATGGTATAGACTACTCAGCAGTAGGAAGCCAATGTAGGCTTTTGGATGTTTTGTCCAGTTTCTTCCACTCCTTTCTATTTTCAGGATGGCTATCATTCCACTCCCTGAATCTTCTTTCTGCCTGTTTGTTTCTCTTATGATAACAGTCAGGATATCTTGTGAGAGAAACAGGTGGAACATTTCCACCACTGTCTTTCTTACTTCTCTTGTTGGCCCAGCACTTTCATGGACTATGTCCTTGGCTGTTCTCTGATGATGTATTAGCAGTGGTCTTTTTTCCCCCCCACACGCTGCCATTCCTTTTTCTAAAGGTGCCATCATCTGCTATGTTTTCTGGGTGGTGGCAGTTGTCCTGCTCCACGTCCTGCTGTAGCTCTCCTCGGTCTTCCACGGTGGCCCCAGGCTGGTCCTCTTCCCTTTCCTACTGGAAGTGTTGGCATCACTTCTGCTTGTGATACCAACTCCTCCTCATCTGAGCTGGATGAAGCTTCCATAGGCACATGATCATCTTGCTCTGAACAATCTCCCATTCTCGAACAAACCCAGCATCCTCACTGCCTTGGGATAAGATTTCATCAGTGAATATGTCAGTGACCTCCCCAGTTACCTGTGCAAGACAGGCTTCATCACTGAATATGCGTTGCCTTCTTATCCTGGACTGCAGAAAAAAAAAAGAAAAATGATTACTACTGAATGCATATAAATAACAAAGACAAGCCTGTCCACCTATGCTGTCACAGAAGCAATTCTGCCCTGCCCTATAGTAGAGCAGGTTGCCTTCTTATCCTGGACTGCAGAAAAAAAAAAGAAAAATGATTACTACTGAATGCATATAAATAACAAAGACAAGCCTGTCCACCTATGCTGTCACAGAAGCAATTCTGCCCTGCCCTATAGTAGAGCAGGTAGCATCCTCTCCTCCCGAGCACAGAAGCCAGATACCAGCATCCACCCTTTGCAGGCAAGCCAAATGTAGGTGGATGCTATTTGGAAACCACACATGCAGGTGCTTGTTGAGAGCAGGTAAAAGGGGTATGGGGGTGTCAAGCCCTTACTGTTGAAGGAGACTCCATAGTGTAAACTGTATTGCAGTATAATGTTGTTCTATTTCTTCTCTGCTCTTCAAGTGCAACAGTATTTCCATCATGCTTCTCCCGGAGCTGCTCAGCACCACAGTGAATTCAGGATGCTGGCCATTGGGCCTGTGTGAAACAGCTAGTATTTGCTTCGAATTTGGATTCAGCCGATTTGGGGGACAGCGATTGGATTCAGTAATTTGAATCACTGTCCTGAATCAATTCAGCCAAATAGTACTCACTTTCATAAACCTAACAAGGTTAAATAAAATATCCAAAATCCCCAGGTGTGCAACCATTCCTCATCTAGCCAGAAGAGTTAGTTAAAGGGGCTTCATTATTGTAATTTATATGCCATTATTCCTTCAATTAAATATTCTTCCTTGTTTATATTCCCATAATGTTGCATGCAGAGGGGCTGATGTAGGTACATTCTAAACACAACTACATTTAGAAACCAAATAGCAAGCTTTCAGGCTCCATCATGGAAGTTACAAAACAGCTGCAAACACCAACTGTAAAAAAAAACATCATTTAAGTACATTGTGGGTTTTACTAGCAGAGCTACTTCAGTTACTGGGTGTCATCCGCTCATGTTGTGGCCCACACAGCTCTCTTAGCAGAAGTTCAACACACGGAAAAACCAGAAGGTTAATTTTTGCCATTATATTAAATGTTACCATCTCCAACTATATTACAATGATTAGAATGCCAAAGATAGCCAGCCACTCCAAAGTGTATTTTTTTAATTTATTAATTAGTTCATATGAGTGCCCTTAAACTATCAGTAAACAAAAAAATGCAATTATTTATATCTATATTTTATTAATCAAACAATTTATTTACTGGAACAAAAATAAGAACAAAAATCCTATAAACAATTTATTTGCCTTGAAGTAAGTAACATTTTTTCTGCCCCCTTAGTGCTTCCATGCAGCAGATCCACCATGCCGTATTGATCTCCTGATATTCTAAGAGCTTAAGCTACATTTCTGTAGCATGAGTCTGCCACCTGCAATCTTGAACTATTGGCAGGTTCCCTGACACAACCTACCCACTTCAGAAGCAAAGGTCTAGGAATTCTGTGCTAATGAACAGAAGTGTTCAACACATGAAATCAGCAAAATACAACTGGATGGCATAGTCCATATTTCTTTGTGCAGCCACCTCTCAATGTGAATAGTTTCTAAAGTAGATTAAAGGTTAAAACTTCGAAAAGACCATGGTGCTTTGGCTGAAGAAAGAGAGAAAGACAAACATGGATGATGAATCCAGGTGAAACTTAGCAAATGGTATGCAAAACTATTGGAGGCCATTATAGTGTTAACCACATAACATTTCCCTTTAAGCCCTTGTGAAATACATGTGGCAGAAGAGATATTAAGACTTCTTTACTAAAGAGAATTCCTAGATACCATATTGTTCTAATGTTAGCCTTTCTTTCTTCAGAAGAGCCGGGGATATGGAGGTGGGAGAGGATGAGGGGGCAAAAAAAAATTGCACTGTGTTTACATCTGCTGGATCAAGCTATATTTGGACTCACAACAATCCATTATAATTGCACTATAATAACCAATTCTTGGTGTAGAATCTAGTCATATTGCAAAACTGTTACACGTGAGTATATGATTCTGATTTGGTGAAGGAAGTTAACTGTGGTATATTGCCAGCACTCATGAATGAAACTTCAACACTATCAGCTGGTTCAAATTATATGCATTCTACTCAGTTATACTCTTGGAGAATAATATAGCTATCTATGCTTTCCAGTTAGGGCAAAGTGACATACATGCAACAGTACTCAATAACAAGATCTTAGCTTGATAGTGAAAACAAGTCTCAGAGGTGAAAATGGGGAATGATCTCTATCCCTTAGGCCATCCAGTCCTATCAGGTTTATCTTTTAGTATCCCACCATACATTTTTTAGCCCACAGAGTTAGAGAGATATACAAACAGAATGAAATCAAAAAGCATGACTATAAAAAGAAGCCCATACATTTATGATACAATTAATTTGTCACAAATGCTTAGTTACATACAGAAAAATACACTTTCTTGAGGAATATAACATTTTGGAGATAAACATAGAATCAAATGTGTAACTTGTTTTGAAATTACTTGACATCACATAGAAGTGCAACCCCACGCAGTATCCAGTGTTCCGGGGGCTGGAGGCTTCTAAGGTCCACAGCAGCAATGTAATTCAGATCTGTTCGAAGTGTTTTTTTGTAGACTGGACAGGAGTACAGATGTGGATCTTTTGAAGCTGAAAAGAGAGGAATAAACCATTAGAAGACAATCTGTGAAATGAGTCTGGACAGAAAGGGCATTAAAGTAGAGTGCACAACCCAAATGGAAAAGTAAAGAACTCAAAGTCAAAGTTCAATAGCAGGTGGCTCCCTTCAACCAAAGGAAAAAGTGTCTCAGTTCACCACACAACCACACACCACACAACCACCACACCACACTACTCACTTCTGTGCCAGCATTAGGAAAATATTTTAATGCTGCCTGCGTCTCTTGTAGGTTTCAGATTTTATTTTAAAACCAAAGTATTCTAACAGAATAAGACATTTAAATAGACACCCTGCAGAAATGAAGAAACTGGTATTTCACTCTTCTTCTGAACTTTCCTTCTTTTCAATGTCTCAAGTCAACATGTCAGATTGAAACTTTTGAAAGAATTAGGAACTTTTGCAGCTGAACTAGTGTGTCCAATATCATAAGACATTCTCCATGCTACAACTAGGACAAAATATTCTAACCTTGATTAACATGCAAGTATTTATAATTCAGTACCTAGGTGGGGATTGCTTTGGTTGGTTAGTTGTTTTTCTCCTTTTTTTAATTCTAACAGTGCAGATTTTATAACACAGACTCTGGATGTGATCCTGTTCACAATGAGCATTCTGGCTGGCACTGAAACAGGGATCCTAGTTTTCTCTGATTTAAAAAAAATCCCCAAATTTTGGATTAAAAAAGTAAGCCAAAATGCACATTTTTCTGTGATTAAAATATCCAACATTTTCAAATTTCTGGTAAGTGCTTGGTCCCAAGCATGTCAGATTTATGAGGTTATAGTGTGCGCGCGCGTGTGTGTGTGCGTGTGCGGATAGATAGATATAGAGAATACGAGCTCTCTCTCTCTCTCAGTGGTGTTTCATTTTAAACTGGCATGGTGGCCGGTCGCAGAGCTGGGGGGAGGATGAGGGGTAGCAGTGGCCGGTCCCAGAGCAGAGGCCGCACGCAGAGCAGCAGTTCAGGGTGGTGAACGGCGGTGGCAGCTGTTGCATGCAAGTTTCCCCTTCTGTGTCCAGGAGGATGGGAGGGAGCAGTGGCCAGTCCCAGATCAGTGGGGGGGAAGTGCCAGATTTTTGATAATTCAGGATTTTTGGTATCCAGTTTATGAGGTTATACTGTATTTAGTTGCGTTTCATTTTACTCATGGAAAAATCTGGATTTGGGGTTACTTTTTATAATCCAAAAATTGGGGATTTTTCTTCTTTTAATCAGAGATTTTTGTTATCCCTGCTGATAAAGGAAAACGCTTAACACCCTGCTTCACCTTAAGCACGCAAATAGTCCTACAGAAGCCAATGATGTTAAGCACATGTCTTATGTTGGCAGAATGCTTCACACTGCTGCAGGACCAGAGAGGTAATGGCGTATTGCATTATTTTTAGCCAGTGTTGGAAATATAAAACCTCTTTCTTCTTTTAACACTTGCATCTTTCAACTCACCCAAACTCACCCAAAGTCCTGAGCTTGACCAGGAGTTTGCCCAGGAACTGGCTGAGGCAGCTTGCTCCAGGACCATGGTTGTCATGGGTGACTTTAATTACCCAGACATCTCGTGGGAGGATCGCTCAGCAAAATCTGAGCGGTCGCAGAGCTTCCTCTCGTGCGTGGATGACCTCTACCTGACTCAAGAAGTCTATGGGCCAACGAGAGGCAAAGCGCTGCTCGACCTGGTACTGGCTACTGGGGATGACCTAGTCGGTGACCTAGTGATCGATGGCAAGCTGGGTGACAGCGACCACGAGCTGATCACCTTCACCATCCGCCGAAAAGCTGGCAAGTCGGTCAGCAACATGCAAGTCCTTGACTTCAGGAAAGCCGACTTTGACAAGCTCAGGAGGCTTGTCAGTGAGGCCCTAAGGGACCGTGACCACAGGGAGAGGGGAGTTCAAGAGGAGTGGTTGCTCCTCAAGGGAGCGATCCTCAATGCACAAACTAAGTCTATTCCATCTCGGAGGAAAGGCAGCAAGAGGGCACAGCAGCCCCCCTGGCTCTCCAGGGACCTAGCAGATCTCCTGAGGCTAAAAAGAAAGGCCTACAAAGGGTGGAGGATGGGAGTCACCTCCAAGGAGGATTATTCTGCACTGGTCCGGTCCTGTAGGGAGCAGACCAGGAAAGCCAAGGCTGCAACTGAACTCCAGCTAGCTTTGAGCATCAAGGACAATAAGAAGTCCTTTTTCAGATATGTGGGGAGCCGGAGGAAAAGCAGAGGCAACATTGGACCCCTGCTGAGCCAGATGGGGCAACTGACAACTGACGCCCAGGAAAAAGCCAACCTATTAAATAGGTACTTTGCGTCAGTCTTTCATCAGTCCCATGGGACGCCCATGCCCGCTACAGGGCCGGGAAGTCCGGGTGAGGGTGATCCCCTGCCCTCCATTAATGCTGACTTTCTGAAGGAACATCTTGAGAAGCTGGATACCTTCAAGTCAGCTGGCCCTGACAATCTCCACCCCAGGGTACTCAAGGAGCTGGCGAGCATCATAGCCCAGCCTCTAGCACGGATCTTTGAAAACTCTTGGCGCTCTGGTGTAGTGCCCGAAGACTGGAAGAAGGCCAATGTGGTGCCTATCTTCAAGAAAGGGAGGAAAGTGGATCCGGCTAACTATAGGCCCATCAGCCTGACTTCTATCCCGGGGAAGATCTTAGAAAAGTTTATTAAAGAGGCCATCCTTAATGGACTGGCCGACGCCAACATCTTAAGGGATAGCCAGCACGGGTTTGTTGCGGGTAGGTCTTGCTTGACCAATCTCATTTCCTTCTACGACCAGGTGACCTATCACCTGGACAAGGGAGAAGAGATTGATGTCATATATCTTGACTTCAAAAAAGCCTTCGATCTGGTGTCCCATGATCGCCTCTTGGAGAAACTGGCCAATTGTCGCCTTGGGTCCTCCACGATCCGCTGGCTGGAAAATTGGCTCCGGGGTCGGACCCAGAGGGTAGTAATCGATGGAAGTCACTCATCGTGGTGTCCTGTGACCAGTGGGGTCCCCCAAGGCTCTGTCCTTGGACCCATACTGTTCAACATCTTCATTAATGATGTGGACACTGGAGTCAGAAGCGATCAGAACTGGCCAAGTTCGCCGATGACACCAAACTTTGGGGCCACCCAGCACTCTTCCCTGCCTATGCAGGGGGTCAGACTCGATGATCTCAAGCAAATCCCGGGACGTCTCAAGCAAATCCCGGGACGTCTCTCAAGCAAATCCCGGGACGTCATTCTCCCCCTGTACTCGGCCTTAGTGAGGCCGCAGCTGGAGTACTGTGTCCAGTTTTGGGCTCCACAATTCAAAAAGGATGTGGAGAAGCTTGAGAGAGTCCAGAGAAGAGCCACGCGCATGATCAGAGGTCAGGGAAGCAGACCCTACGATGACAGGCTGAGAGCCCTGGGGCTCTTTAGCCTGAAAAAGCGCAGGCTTAGGGGTGATCTGATGGCCACCTACAAGTTTATCAGGGGTGACCACCAGCATCTGGGGGAACGTTTGTTCACCAGAGCGCCCCAAGGGATGACGAGGTCGAATGGTCACAAACTACTTCAAGATCGTTTCAGGCTGGACATAAGGAAGAATTTCTTTACTGTCCGAGCCCCCAAGGTCTGGAACAGCCTGCCACCGGAGGTGGTTCAAGCGCCTTCATTGAACACCTTCAAGATGAAACTGGATGCTTATCTTGCTGGGATCCTATGACCCCAGCTGACTTCCTGCCCTTTGGGCAGGGGGCTGGACTCGATGATCTTTCGAGGTCCCTTCCAGCCCTAATGTCTATGAAATCTATGAAATCTTTCAAACAAAGCTGCAGATTCATTCAATTAACTTAAAATTTCTACAGGCTGACACCTTGTGTATGGTTCAGTTATAGGCTCCTGAAAAAATAGTTTATACTGAAAATGCTGACAAACAGCACAGCAAATGTATGTATATGATCATTTGCTTACCGCAGCTTACCTCTCAAAAATGAAAGTGCAGTACACATAGAGATTTTTACATTAAGAGAGAGAAAAAATAGATTACAAGCACATATTTGCCTTAAACAGTGAATACATGTAAAACCCTTTCAACTATTTTCTGTGCAGTTTCCTTTCCTTTTGTTCATAAAAATATATATTAAAAATAGAATCCGAGAACCCAGAATGGTCTTGACTTCTGTCCTGTAACTCCCTAGCTGAAACTGTTCTGACAGGTCCTTTCCTCCTTCAGGAGCCCATGTGTCCTCCAGCAGCTCTGTTTTTCACTTGGCTACTGTTTCCTCAAGCAAAAGCCCTCCCTGACTTCAATGCTGCCACATGTATGTCCAGACAGTGCATAGCTACAAAGTGGAGTTTCCGCTCAATTTTGTTTTTGGTTTTTTTTGGTTTTTTTTTTTTAGCTCTTTCAGTGTTTGTTTATACCAACAGCAATTAATCATGTTTTCTTACAGTACCGTGGCAGAATTACAGGCCTGGGGCTTCCTCTTTAGAAAGCCTCCCTTGTGAATAAGTTTCAGGCCTTGAACATAGGCCATTTATACCAGTATATAGGAGGAGTGGATGAACTACATCAAGCCACATGCTGGTTTAACTTAACCGAATCCAGTATAGAATGATCTCAAGAAACATCAGGGATACAACTACATCATATGTCCATACCCTGCATCTCGTGTATAGCTATTCCATACATTTCAGGGTACCTATTTATTCATGGCAAACAAGCTACTGGCCTGTTCTCTCAAACCCCATGGCAAAATGTAATAGTGAGTACCATAATTCAGCTACCTTGTCAGCTCCAGGTCCCAGTGAACTTTACATAGGCCCATAACACCAAGGTAACTAGCAGTGTAAAGGTAGTGTTACCGGTCCTAGAGTAATATGGTAACTCTGATGTTTTGGAACTCCAGCAAATATGAAATGAGGGGGAAAATGAATTCCTAGTTTGAAGTGTCCTGTAATGCCTGAGGCGCTCTCAGAAAATTTACTGGAAAAAATAGGACTGCTCTTGCATTAAGGTTCAATACCGTGGCCACTGGGATGGACAAGAATTCTGAGTGCTACAGGATCATTTTTATGTGTTCATACTGAGAAAATGCATTATTAATTATGGCAATGAGATCTGAATATAAAGGGTCTGGTGAAGGTAATGTAGAACAGAAATTTTCTACAACAAGACATGAAGAGCATTATGACCAAATTAGAGAATTTGTATTTTTGAGGGAGGGATCCTCTATTAGTGATAACAGAGCACCTACCTTTCAGAGTGGGAGCCTACATTCTGATGTTATTATGGTAAACCTTAAAAGCCCTCCCCAAACTATTAGTTATGCATTAATGGAGATTGATTATTTAATACCCAAATGAATCAATAACAACTTATTCAGATATGTAAAACAAATTTAAATTGTCATTTATGTAGGACAGTAGTTACTTACTGTTATTCTCTGCATATATCCTTATGATAGGCATTATTTCAAAGAGCACCTTGGGCTTGGATTCAACTAGTTTTAAGCTTCTCCTGTCCCAGCCAGCACCTTCCAGATACAGACCATATACATAGACACCCTCAGGAGGAGGGGTTGTAACATCATCCTTCATCCATTTGGTGACTTCATTGCACAGGGCTACACTGTCCAATGCCCACCCCTTGTTGGCTCGAGTTATTTCCTGTTTGAAAATACCAGTAACGCACATTGTACATAATTTTTTAAAAAGAAAAATAGCATTTACTTTAGGAGCTATAATTTCAGTACACTTTGTTATGTAACCACCACCTTAAATCATAATAAAAAAACAAGTATTTACCTTAATGCATTTCCATCTATTAACACCACATTATTTTCTTCTATTTTCCTCCTGAAATGCTTTCCACATTTTACATACAAGTTATTTTCAGATTTATTGTGTTTAAAAAATAAATACTATGCACACAAGAAGGATCAAGAGTTTAGTAAATCTGCCTTTTAACATCAAAATGCCTCATGAACAATTCTTACTCAACTCTACTTAGGTTGAGTTTTCCTTCAAGTGCTAGGAAATCTCTGCTCCAAGGAAGGCCTTAATTCATTAATCTATAGGTATGGTTTTCAATTTTTATTAAGTGCTAAGGCTTAAGAGGAGAGGGCAGTAGATGCCAAGAGTAAGGTCAAATGGATATAAATGTAAAGTGCTGTTTTTTGGAACACGTGGAACATTAAGTCAATGAATGCTCTTTTCATTTAAGTGGCCCTTAATACTCAAACCAAGCTGTTGCATATTCTTTGCAAGTACTCTACTGCCTAAACTGTATTTTTATGGGGTGGGGGTGTAAGGTGCGCTCTCTCACTGTTTATGTATGGTCAGTTAGAACAGTAGTTCACAACAGTTTTGGTCAGAAGGTGACCTTCACTAGGCCCAAGGCTAGAGCTGTGCGAAGCTTTGGTTACCAATTCAATTCAGAGAAGATTCGGCCTAATTCAGTGGCCAAATCTCCAAATCTGAATTGAATCAGGAGACCCATTAAAAGGTCTGAATGGAATCCGAAGCCTCCAAATCAATTTGGAAAAGATTCGGATCAGCCCGGGAGAGGCATACACAGCTGGGCAGCAGCATGTTCTCCCACAGCTCTTCCAGGTGTACCTGCCTCTCCCCAGGCAGGGTATCCATGGGAGAAGCGTCCATGGTTGCTCAGCCCTGCCCAACCCCACCCCCCACCTCATCCCAGCACTTAAAAAAAAAAAAAAATGCCGCACTCACCCTGAGCTAAGGCAGGGGCAGTGAGGGCTCTGGGGCCCCCTGGCAGAGCCCCCCCATGCAGTCCCCACTCTCTGATCTCCCCACTCCACCCAGCCCCACCCCTGATGGCTGCCCTGCCAAGCCCCAGCCTCCCAGAAATTAAGAAAAAAAAAACCACACTCACTGGCTGCAGCACTGGGGATCAGGGCCTCCGGGGGCTCATGGCAACCCCCCCCATGCAGCGTGGGACAGCGACGATCACCCCGCACATGGCACCAGTGCAACAGCTGCCCTATGGCGTGGGTGCATCATGGCTCAGCAGGGCACTGCACGCTGCGTGTGAGCTGGGGCCACTGAGTCTGAGCGCTTCCAAGAGGCCCCAGAGCCCTCAAAGCCCCTGCTACAGCCCGGTGAGTGCAGGGATTTTTTGTTTTTTTTTTAATTGCCAGGAGGCTGGGCTGGGCAGGGGATGGGGTCAGACAGAGCAGCAATGGGGACTTCTCCCACAGCTCCCCCCACCCAGGGAGAGAGAGGCACAACCGGAAAAGGAGCTGCCTGGCTCTGCCTGCCTCTCCTCCACGGATCTGAATGTCTGAATCAGCACCAAATCTCCAATTCTGATTTGGCCGAATCAAATGGGGACAGCGATTCAAATCACCGAATCAAATTACTGTCCTCCGAATCAGCCGAATCCAAATCCAAACCAAATACTTTCCTATTTGCCGAGGCCTACTCAAGGCATTCCTCCATAACTTTTGTAAATGGAGTGGTACCCAGTTTCAAAAACTAGTTTATATATTACAGTGTTTACCTCCTTGCAAAGGGGACAGGCAAGGGGGCTGGGGAAACAGGCATGGATAAGCCTCAGCCTGTCTTATCTCCTCATAGCTCAGGGACCTTTCAAGGAATCTGGTGGCCCCAGTGGCGTAAAATAGTTTCAGGTGTTAATATATGGCCAATCCTCCAGCACCCCAGAAAGCAGTGTCCCCTCCCACATCCTCCTGGCCTGTGGGGACAAGATTTCCATCCTATGAACTCTACTGCCCAGGGAGTGGTTCTGCCACCACGCCCCCCTTCTGCCCCCAGGGATATGTCCTTCCCACCCCCATGGGTGCAACCCTATTCAAATAGCCTGCAGAGCACATGCCAGCTAGCCAGGACACCAGGCATGGACAGATCCAGGAGTGGGTTCTAGGAGGGATAGGAGGAAGGGGGAACAAGGCAGGGGGCTGGATCAGGTCCAGGAGCTCAGCTTCCTTCCAAGGACAGGGGCAGTAGTTCCCCCAAAACTGCCTTCCCATACAACTTCTACCTCCCAGGTACCCCGGGCAGTATGACCAGCACCCCCCATACCCCAATCCCAATCTATTAAAACCTGAGACCTTCTTTAAATTTATTTTCTCTTTTCTCCTTTTTAAATTATTTTTGTTTTACTTCTTTTTATTTTATCCTTGTGGTTGTCTTCCATCATTTCACCACCCTTCCCCACCCCCATTTCCTTTTCACCTTCCATTTCATTACGCCATCCCATTAACTCTCTGCCTCCTAGCTTCATGTTCCCAACTCCTCCCCCAACCCATCTCTCACACCCCACCACCTAGGGCAACTCCCAGATGTAGCTCCTAGTCAGACCCCTGCTTGCCAGCCCTTTAGTGGCAAGTCACAGCTGCGCAGGTGGGGTGCAGTCAGAGAAGGTTTTTAAGCCTTAAGAAGTGGTTGCTTTATATGCAAGTTAGCACTAACAATGATCAACATTTCGGGAACTTAAAGTGCATTGTGTAACTAAGCCCTAATTCACTCTGGGAACCTTGGGTGTCTAGTACAAAAGACTTAAGATAGATGATTCATAACAGTTCTGAAAAAGCTATCAAAATAGCATCACAAGTATATGAAAAAAGTTAAAAGAACAAAAATATATACACAAGTATTTTGCTTTGGACATCCCATGCAAGTTTATATAGGTCCCCATTTATCCTAGTATCTCAGCATAGTATTATACACTTCATCTGCAGACACCGACTTTCATCCCTATCCAAGCATCAGCATTTTAACTGCCTTCACACAAGCTATTTCAGTTTCCCTTGAAAAACACTTTGAGGTCAGGATGGAGAATTTACTTCCCCCCCAAAAAAAGAGGGAACTGTCATGTCATCATTAATCCTTTATCCATTTGGCAATATGCCCACCAAAACAATCCAGAAACCAATTCTACATTCCTAGAAGTAAGCCTCAAAAAATCATGTAAGTCACAACCTGTATCCATATTTACAGCAGCATATCTTGGCTTAAAAAAACTACTGTATATTTCATTGAAATTGGGATCAGAAACAGAAGCAGTTATTCCAAAGCAACTGCAAGTCTTTGACCACTATTACCACACCTCATTATTAAGAAGCAAGGGAACAGGTAATAGTCTGCCTTGAGAAACCAGCTACTATATAGGTCTGTGCGAAGCTTCACTGGCTGTTTCGTTTTGACAATGTTTCGACTAATTTCGAGCTTGAAACACCAAAATTAAAATGAAATGAAGGGCTTCAAAGCAGCCTCAAAATGAAATGAGGGCAGTTGAAACATTTCAAAAGTTTTGAAAAATTTCAAATTTGGAGCAGCCTGGTGGTGGGAGGCAGGGGAGATCCAGGGCTGCACTCCAAGTGGCTCATCCTGGCAGGGAACGCAGCCCTGGTTCTTCTCGCTGTGCTCCGTGGGGCTGGCAGAGCCGATCAGAGTGCAGCACTAGCTCTGCCCTCCTTCTGCCTCTGGGCTGCACTCCTACTGGCTCCACCAGCCCCATTGAGCTCAGCCCAGTGGCAGAAGGCAGGCAGAGCAGGTGCTGCGCTCCACCTCCCACCACTGGGCTGAGTTCCACAAGGCTACAAGCTGCTGGGAGCTAAGCCCAGGGGCAGGAGGCAGAGCACAGCCCCAATGCTGTGCTCCGCTTCCCCCCACCATGCTCAGTTCCATGGGGCTGCAAGCTGCCAGGAGCTGAGCCTGGTGAAGGGAGGCAGAGCACAGCCCCATTGCTACACTCCGATTCCTCCCACCAGGCTCAGTTCCACAGAGCTGAGAGCCACTGGGAGCTGAGCCCAGTGAAGGGAGGCAGAGCACAGTGATGACGCTGTGCTCCACTTCCCCCCACCAGGCTCAGTTCCACGGAGCTGTGATCTTAGCCCAGCTGAGGCTAAGGATGGAACACAACTCAGATGAAGGCAGGTACCTGTGTGTGTGCACTTCCATGATAAAAGCACCACTCACCTTTCTGCAGAGTTGTGCACTGCATGTGTCAGCTTCTAACCACAGAGGATAAGAGGCAATTTTCCCTGTATTTGCTGAGACCCTGCCTCCAAAGAAGATGCTGGGATTCAAACTCTGCTCCCTTTGTCAGGTTGTCTTAAGCTGACTCTACTTCTGGGACCCTGCCAGCTAGTTTTTTTTTTTTTTTTTTTTTTTGTTTTTTTTTTAAAGTTCACTCTTCCACTTAGACTCTTTATTACCACTGCTGTTTGCTGGGACTGGCAGCTGCTAACATACACTGAGGGATTCAAGACAGCCTTGCAGAACGCCTTTGGGAACCCCAGGCAAAGCCTGCACTGCAGCCAGGTGGTGGGAGGCAGGGGAGAGCCAGGGCTGCGCTCTGAGTGGCTCCGCAGCCTCATGTGGCTCAGCCCAGCAAGGAGCGCAGCCCTGGCTCTCCCCACTTACCGCCACCGGGCTGCACTCCGTGGGGCTGGCGAAGCCAATTGGAGCACAGAGCCAGCTCTGCTCGCTGCCTGGCTGCGCTTTTAGGGCATGTCCAGATGAGCACAGCCGTGAGGCATATGGCACTGCAAACACGTCTGCAGCACCACACACCACACAGTCAGGGGTTCTCCATTCTGCAAGGGCACACTCCCCATGTGTGCGCTACTCTGGGTTTTCTTCCATGGGTTTTTATGACCCCCCCCATCTTTACCCATTGTCTTCCAAATTTTCACCTATTTACATTTTCACAGACTTCTTGTCACACTTTTAGTTTCTTTTCTACCTTGGAGATCTCAGAACAGCAGAGTCTCCCAATGCCTGAAGAAGGGTTCTTGTGCCATAAAGCTTGCAAAGACCAATTTTCCCACCTGTTTAGCTTGTGTAATAAAAAAATATCACATCTACCCAAAGAACCTCCCCTAACATCCCGCAAGACCTAACCACACAGCTTCCCCATCCAAGTTACAATGAAGGAGGCATTTACCCTAACACAAGATGCAACCAATAGCAATTGCATTATGAAAAGTTACCTACCTGTCTCATTGCTGTCAAAAATCCTTGAGGATTAAAAAACCCTGTCATCCAGAAGCAGTTTGGTCGACCCTCAAAAATCCAGCAGTAAAACTGGCGGTTTCTTTCCAGAAGTTCAGTAAACCAGAAACCCAAAGTGCTGGATGCCCAGGATGCCTAAAAACAGGGATAAGGTTTCTTGCTTTATGGGACTCTGTAGTGTCACATACACAATCCTACAAAAACATCTGTTAGTTCACTCACTAGCAACTATGGGCAGATGGTAACAATAACGGTTTATTTTTTAAGCCAACTATCCTTAAGAAAATATAAGCCAAGTGGCTCAATTATCGTCTCAATTATATGCAGGCAGTCCTACTAAAATCTATAGGGCTGTACAGGTATATACCAATTAGAGCACAACACACATCAAGAAAATTAACCTACTTCATAAACAACTGAAATTGCAATACCCTAGTCTTCTGATCACTTTTCTATGTACAGGCTGACAGTTTTGTTATCCAATAAAGAAAGTGGTCATAACATTTGAACTACTGCCTGTTTCTCTCAAGTAGTTTAAAAATAAAAATGTGGTTACTATTATCATTGCCATAAAAACATTACTGAACAATTGGCTAGTTCTTTCACCCCATTTGGAACATTAAACCAGAACCTAATTTTTATTTTCTTACTCAAACTATTAACTTGTTATGTGATTTTATGTTCACATTTGTCCCAGATTCGAAGTTACACTTCTGATGGAAGCAATCTAACCCTGGAGTCAGAAATGATAATATTATAATTTATTTTAAATCCAGTGAAAAAAACAACAAAATTATTAGTGATGGATAAAGAACATGGGATGCAGTCTGAATACAGACACAGATAAAAGCATTCATTAGTTCAACACTAGTGATGGTTGAAAACTCATCATACTAAACTACAGATTGGGTTTTTCTTCCTTGTCTCCCCCTTCAGGTTACTGGTCAACACCTAATAAGGCTAAAGAGCCATTAGGCTCTTGGTTTCTCTTATTAGATTTATACAATTAAATGACATTCCAATTCAAAAATAGAAAAATAAAATAGAAAAAAATAGAAAAATAGAAATAGAAAAATAGAAATAGAAAATAGAGGGGTGGAAAGTAGAGTTCTAACATTCTGCTCAAACCTGTTTACAGTTAACCCTACACTTAATCTTCCCATGAGGTAGATTCCACCATCTTTCTAGGTCTTCTGGTCTAGTGCTTAACCTCCATCTTGCCAGGAGCAGGGAGAGGGGGAAACAATGTGTTCTTTACTTTTAAACATTGAATTCTATTAATTCAACACCTGCCTTCTTCCAACGGGCAGGAATCCTTGCATCATACATGCAATCCAGGGCATCCCTCAGATTTTCACTCATTATGATTGTTCCATCAATGGCCAAGTTTAGATCGGTCAGAGTGCTTCGCACCAAGGTGATCACTTTCTGCATTCGATCTATCTCCTGCCGCAAGAAGATGTTCATAGGTTGAAAAGGTCCCATCTTCTGCAGTCTCTCTTTCACCTGCCAGAAGAAAGTCAAGTGAAATAAGTTACTTAAAATTAAAAAATAATGAAAACCTAAGTTAATTATACAGCAGGGTTAGATACCTAATGGAAAGATGGGGTGTATTTTTAATGTATAATGAAACCTATCAAAAACTGAAGAAACTAAACAAATAGTGCAAATTTAGGTTTTTAAATTTGTGTTTTGTGTCTCTATGTATGGTAGTGGTGTTTTTTACATTGGGAAAGAAAAAAAACACTTTAAACCATGCGTTAGACAATCCTTTTTATAAACACAGCATTCATGTGCAATGCCACCTGTTTTCAGAATTATATAGGAAATTGCTATTTAATTTTTCTTTTTCATTTAAATGAAAGCGAATGGACTGAACTCTTTTCAACATTTTAGAAATGTATAGCCCATATTTTCTTCTCTTTACTTCATCCATCCTGTGCGTTTCTAGATCACCTCCCCTTGAAAACTCAGAAAGAATTTGAGGGTATAAACAGATCTCATTCGAGGTGGTCCTAACTGTCCTGGGTTTTGACTGGGGTCAGCTGGTTTCACATGTAGTCCTGCCAAGCTTCATCACTGCCCCTCTGCAGTAGTTGGCCTGGGAGAACATACAGCCTGAACAACAGGTCCTTGTTAAATGAGCCACAAATACTATATGTACTAGAATGTAAGAAAAGGTTATTTTTCCCCAATCAGCAGTGGGAAGAAGGTCCTTGTTGTACATTTGCATACAAAGCAAAGGTTGGGGAGGGAAGAGAGCTGCTACAGCTTTGACTCAGGTCCTGAACCCCAGTCATGGCCAGAGTCAGATGTACAGCAGCCTCCTGCACCCCCTCCACTTGCCCTCTACAGCTTCTCCTCCACTTCTGCCTCTTTCCCCCACTTACTGTCAGGTGCAGCTCAGTTCTGGCTCAAGCTGGGTTCTCTCCCAGGCATGCAGCATATGGAATCTCTACTCTTTGCTGGGTGAAATCAGAAACACCAACACTGCTGCATGGTCAGCAGAGGCTGTGCTCCCATGTTCTGTGCTCCAGGGGGGAAAGCACCTGACAATAAGGAGAGGAAGGGGGATGGGAAGAGGCAGAGACTAGGGAGTAGGAAAAGGGGCAGAGATTGTGGATAATGGGAGAGGAGGAACAGAGGTTGTGGGGAGTTGGGGGTTGAGAGGTGCCAATGGTGGGGCGGGGGCAGGAAAGCTGCAAGGGAAACAAATGGGAGAGAAGAAAGGGCAAGGGACCCACCTGCCTCCCCCCCACCCCCAGCCACTGCTTTTTCTGCTGTAGCAGTAGGGAGTGGATGAATTTAAGACAACTTCCCAGTACCTGAAAAATTACAAAAAAAATATATATACATTTTTCATATACAGAATCTAAATTATTGGGGGTGGGGGGTCATCTTACATTCAGGTTTAACTTAGATTCAAGTAAAAATGATAAGTTAGAGAGGCATATAGCAATGCCCCAAGCAACAGCTTTAGCATAGTTTATACAATATACTTCAGAGGTACTTGAAGCAGGACAATGGGTGAATGTTTGTAGGACTCTGATCCAAAAGTCTCTCTCCAGGAGAAATGCAACATCTGTTAACAGCCTAAGTGATATAATAGAGATGAATAGTCCCATGTGCAGTAGATGAAGCCAAGATGGATCTCTCCTTTTGACCATCCCAGGAAAGGCAGCTCCGTTCACCCACACTATTCTTTACCTTAACCTCCTCCCAACATTTGCACCTTGTCAAGATGCTGCTGCAAGTGTTGCCACAGTCATACGTCAGAAGCATAAGGGCCAGAAAGCCAGTAACAGGTAGAATAGTCAGTGTCAATAAGTCCTTGGACACACAAAGGAGGGCCATAAGGGCCATAGATGATGTGGTCAGCTATCTGAGTTTGAGCAGCACAGCTGCAGCCAGCATCACTGGAGAGGGTCCAAGAGTGCATGCTCGTCTTTAACCATCCAATGCCTGTTCTGAGATGGTTAAAGGAAGTCCAGGCCCTGCAGGGGCCAGCCTAAGGGGTGAAAGCTGGTGTTGGTAAGGAAGTTCTTTAGCTGTAGTTGTTGTGCAACATATTGCCTGCTCCACTGATGGGAGGCCTATGCTGTAAGTGACATGCCAAATGCAGATTCAGTGAGCTTATTGGCCTGGTGGAGAATGAGTTGACTTCATGAGAATGAGGGACTTCATAGTTTCATAGTTGGTAGGGTCGGAAAGGACCTGAGCAGATCATCAAGTCCGCCCCCCTGCCGTGGCAGGAA